TTCCTGTGGTGGAAATTAAACCTAAGTCCCTGCATAGGCAAAGGGCTTACTGTGCTACATCCTTAGTCCCTGTCATGTTTTAAACATTTTGAACCAGGAAATGTGGTGCACTGCTGTAATCAGACTAACCAGGAGGTGGCGATGGAATGTCTTGAGTGCACAGCCTGCCTGGACTGCATAGAACAAGAATTTACCTCAAAAAAGGCTGAGAATGAGAAGTTGCATTCCTTGATTAGGGTATGGTGGCCCTGCTTGAGGTGCTGGTGGGAGGATCAGTTTGAGGTCTTTGTTTTTTCCTCCGTGGTTACTATTTCCATCTCATTCTTGACATTTTGAGGCAGAATCTCACTCTCCCTGGGCTGGAACTCACCACATAGCCCAGACTGGCCTAGCATTCTTCCTGGGTGCTGGCATTCCAGGTGTGAGATAAAATCCAGGAAGTTGTGAATGATCTTCTCAAAGATTAAGGTCAGAAAGTTGTTCAGGTAGCTTTCCAGGAATCTCAGGAGTTGCTAATCTTAGGTAGGAAAGATTTCCTTCCATTTTAACTCTGAGGAGAGAACAGTTGACACTAACACTAGATTCCTTCTTAGCAGCTGGCATTTGGAGGGTTTTACTTTGGAAATTGGTGAGAAGTCAGATTTTTGAACCTTCTTATGTCTTTCAGTCACTAACAGAAACTTGAACTTGTTGAGAATGGAGCAAGTCCTGTCCTATCCCCTCATCTCCCCTGCTGGAGACTGAACCCAGGATCTTTCTCATGATGCTGGGTAAACACTATCATCACCACACTGTGTCCTCATAATTGTAACTGGTTTTTGTTTGGAGGTTTTTGTTTTTGTTTTGTTTTGTTTTTGAGGGCATTTTGAGATGGGGTTTCCCTGTAGCCCTAGCTAGCTTGCAACTTGCCGTGTAGATCAGGCTGGCCTTGATCTCAAAGATCTGCCTGCCTCTGCCTCCTGAGTTCTGGGATTAAAGGTGTGCCCATCCTGCCAAGCTTATTTCAGTTGTTTTCAGAAGAACATTCAGCTCTGAAGAACACAGACTTACACCTTTACATTATCTGGTCACTGAGAAGGTAGTTTGGAGATCATATTCACAAGTTGAAAGACAATTCAATGACGTTTGCAATGTTACTTCCTTCCCAGGTGTAGGGGTCCCATGTGTCCAGTGCCAAAAAGTAATTCTATCTTGGTTCAGCCATTTTTCAACACTATTAGATTTTTACTTTTTATTTTTATTTATTTTGGTTCTTTAAAGTGTTTTAAAGTGCTGGAAAGCACTGGTTGCTCTTGCAAAGGAACAGGGTTTGATTCTTAGCACCCACATGGTGACTCACAACTGCCTGCAATTCCAGTTCTGGGGGATCTGACACCCTCTTCTGGCCTCTGTGCATCTGTATGTACATGGTACACATATATATGTGCAGACAAAACACATAGAATAAGTCTTTAAAAATTAAAATATTTAAAATTTAAAAATAAAAGTCTTCTGGGAGACAGCACAGCAGGTTAACGGCACCGGCCATTAAGTTAACAAATACAGGGGGCTGGAGAGATGACTCAGCTGTTAAGAACACTGGTTGTTCTTGCAGAAGACCTGGGTTCAAATCCCAGCACCCACATGGCAGCTAATAACTGTCTATAACTCCAGTTCTAGGGGATCTGATTGCCTCTTCTGTCCTCCTTGGGCATTGCACAATACAGGTGCACATGCAGGCAATACACTCATACACATAAAATTAAAAAAAAAAAAGTTAACAACTACAGATCATCATGCAAGTCATTTTCACTGAAGAGGGTCTGTTTATTTTGCAGTGTATTTTACCATTGAACTACCCCTTTATCTCTGACCTAAGGAGGTTTAAAAATTTTGGTTTAAGCAGGGTGTGGTGGCACACACTTTTAATCCCAGCACTCAGAAGACAGAGGCAGGCAGATATCTGTGAGTTAGAAGCCAGCCTGGTCTCCATTAGCGAATCCAGGCCAGTTGTGGCTATAGGGAGACCTTGTCTCAAAAAAAAAAAAAAAAAAAAAAAAAGACCAAAAAAAATTGGGGGGCGGGGCTTTAAAGTTTTTGTTTTTGGAGACAGGTTCTCTGTGTAGCCTTAGCTGGCCTGGAACTTCCAGTGTAGACTGGGCTGGCCCCAATTTCACAGAGCCTGCCTCTGCCTCTTGGATACTCTAACACTGAGCCCTCTTTTTACTTTTTATCCTGAGGCAGGGTCTCAATAAGCTTCTGAATATTCCTGTATTCACTCTAACTCAGGCAGGCCTTTGAACTTTGGACTCTCCAGCCTTGGCCTCAGTAGCTCAGGTGGCAGGCCTGCTCACCAGGCTCCTTCCTTTCTAAAAGCAGGCTTTTTAGAGTTTAAGGCCTTTCCCTCTTAGTTTTTCATTGGCAGAGAACACTGGGAATGTTCCAGCTGTGGCCAAGTTACTCTAGCTAAAGGTGCTGCTGGCCTTGCACAATCTCCATGTTGCAGTTGGCATTAGCAGAGACCAGCTTTCGCCCTGCTGCCTCTGAGCTCTAGCCAGGCTCTTGCAGCAGGAACAGACCAGCAGTGTAGAGTATCGATGAGGTCACTGAGCTTTAAATAGCGCCCTGCTCTTGAAATAAGGACAGCATGATTTAGGGCAAAGGCCAGAACTGGATCCCTGTGGCCACAGGCACCTGAGCTGTCCTCGGCATCAGAGACAGTGATTAGATTGCGCTGAGGTGGGGCTTCAGTTTCTGCAAAGGCCTGAGAGAGGCCAGAGTCTAGTGGTCTAGTGGCCTGGGTGCCTAAGGGGCCTGTGGAGGCCTCAGCCTGTGTCCCATACAGTCTGAGGAGCTAGTTCTTTGCAGGCTGCTCTTGGGGTTCTGGAAGGGAGGTGATGTAAAGAGCTAGAGAAGTGTCAGTCAGGCCAGAGGAGAGACACTCCATCCAGGAAGATGAACTAGGCACTTGTTATCTAAGAAACAGGTAGCTTTGTGGGGGAACTAATGCTGAATGAAGAATGTGTGGGAGTCCTCAGAGGCGCCTACCCACATCTAGCAGGGCACTGTGTCCAGAGAGCTTAAGTGTTTGTCTCATATGACCTGATGATGACCTCATGAACACTGCAGAAATCTGCCTTACAGATATGCTAGCCAGCTGGGATATAGCTTAGTGGGTAGAGGGTCAGCATAGCATGCCAGAGCTGGGTTCCATCTCCAGCACCACCTAAAATGAGGTGGTGGAGGCATACAGCCACAGTAACCAAAGCCCAGAGAAATGGAATGGCTTGCTCCTAAGGTCACCCCACAAGTGGGGGTGTGGGAAACTCATCTCCTGGGGTGTTTGTACTGACTGTGTAGATATCAGAACTCAGCAGGAGCCAGGCAAGTTGGCCTATGCTTATAGTCAACCCATGAAGAGTCTAAGGCAGAAGGATTAAGAGTTTAAGACCAGGCTGGACTGCACAGTGAGGTCAGCAGGCCATTCTGAACCCATTCTGTTGTTTTTGTGTTTGAGATAGGGTCTTATAGCCCCAACTGGCCGCTGTCTGACAGATATCCACCTGCCTCTGTCTTGCAAGTCCTGGGATTAAAAGCTTGTGCCACCACACCCAGGTCTGAACCCATTCTGAAGTGGTCCCCACTGGCAACCTGGGATCTTCCCACAGAAAGCACCTCCTGCTCAACTTCTGCTCTGAATTGTAACAGAACCAAAGCTTACTTCTTCATTCTGGCCTTATGCTGGAAATGAGTATAGTACAGTGAAAGGTTAACTTCACTCTTTGTGGCTCAGCATGGCTCAGCAGTAGTTTCTGTAGTGTGTGCAGGACCCTGGGTTCCATCTCCAGCATCAGGAAAAGGAAACTGGTGACTGTGTCCCTTTTTTTTTAAACGGTGAAAAAAAAAAATAATATATTTAGAATTAGAATGATTCAATGTCCTTTTTTTCTTTTCTTTTGAGACAGGGTCTCTCTTAGCCCCAGCTGCCTTAGAACTCACTATGTAGACCAGGCTGGCCTTGAACTCAGAGCTCTGCCTGCCTCTGCCTCCCAAGTGCTAGGATTAAAGTTGTGCACCACTACGCCCAGCCTAGAGTCTTACTATAACCCTGGCTGGCCTGGAACTCACTGAGATCCTCTTTCCCAAGTACTAAGATTAAAAGGGATGTGCTACCACGCCTGGCCTCATCTTCCCCACCCCCTTTTTTCCCCTTTCTTCCCATTAATGTAGCCCATCGGACAGTGCGACTGCTGTTTCCCCAAGTTGCTAAAATTCCACAGTGGTCAGACAGAATCCTAACTTGTTAGTTTTTTGTTTCTTTTAAGTTTTCTTCAGTTACATTTATTGGGGGGAGGTATGTGTATGTGTTTGGGGTGAGGCGCTCATGTTCCATGGGGCCTTGGAGGCAAGAGGACAACTTGCAGGAGTCTGTTCTCTACCATATGGGTTCCAGGGATCAGACACTGATTGAGGCATGACAGCAGGCACCTTCACTCCTGCACCGTCTTCCTTTCTATGGCATATGGCTGTCTAGTTTTAGCCTAAGAAAAGAAAAGCTTCCTTTCTCAAGTCAACTTCAGGACCACTCAGTATATTTTCTCCAAAAGGGGACAGGACTCAAGTTCAGGGGATGAGACAAGATGAGGAAGCTGTCAGTCAGGTTTTGCCTTGAGGCTTTGCTGAGGTCCACTGCACAGCCATCTCTAAAATCCTAGGCTTGCTGTGAGTGCTGGGTTACTGTGAACTTCACCTTTGCATTTGAGATACATATTTGACTCCTAGATGTGAACCTGACTGGTGCAGATGCTCAGCCTGTCCTAGGGTGAACACTGCTGTTCGTCAGCATCAGTCTAGCAGTGTTTCTTTCCTCTTTGTTGCTTCCCCCATCTCCCCACCTCGCCCCCTCCACCCAGGTACAACGCACTTGGATGTGCTGGAGGGTCTGATGTGGGTTTGGCATGATGATGCTCTCCCGTCACCATCTCTGTTCTGTAACCACTCTTGGTCCCTTCCTCCTGTAGGTGACAGAGTTGAACGAGCCACTGTCCAATGAAGAGCGGAACCTGCTGTCAGTTGCCTACAAGAATGTGGTGGGGGCGCGCCGTTCCTCCTGGAGGGTCATCAGCAGCATCGAGCAGAAGACGTCTGCAGATGGCAACGAGAAGAAGATCGAGATGGTGCGTGCCTACCGCGAGAAGATCGAGAAGGAGCTGGAAGCCGTGTGTCAGGATGTGCTGAGCCTGCTGGATAACTACCTGATCAAGAACTGCAGCGAGACCCAGTACGAGAGCAAAGTGTTCTACCTGAAGATGAAAGGGGACTATTACCGCTACCTGGCTGAAGTGGCCACTGGGGAAAAGAGGGCCACGGTGGTGGAGTCGTCTGAGAAGGCCTACAGCGAAGCCCACGAGATCAGCAAGGAGCACATGCAGCCCACCCACCCCATCCGGCTGGGCCTGGCTCTCAACTACTCTGTTTTCTACTATGAGATCCAGAATGCCCCAGAGCAAGCGTGCCACCTGGCCAAGACAGCCTTTGATGACGCCATCGCCGAGCTCGACACTCTGAATGAGGACTCCTACAAGGACTCCACTCTGATCATGCAGCTGCTCCGTGACAACCTCACCCTCTGGACGAGCGATCAGCAAGACGAGGATGGCGGCGAAGGCAACAACTAAGGCCCCGGGGACTGGCAGCGCACGCTGACGCTACTACTGCAGTCTTTATTTTTTTCCCATGAGTTGGGGGTCGGGTGGGGGAGGGAAACGGGAGGGCTGACCTTCCCAGGGAGAAACCCACGACCTGTCCTGTCTTTGATCGCCTCTTTGACATTTTTGCCAAAATACCACTAGTGGAGAGTCAGGAGCTGTGCTGGTTTGGGAGTAGTGGCCTCACCCGGCACCCGGACGGTCGCACAGGTTCATGCAAGTGGAGCTGTCTGCCTTTAGTTTAACTTATTGCTAGACAGTAGGGTTTGAAGATGCAAAGCAAAGCTGGAAATGGATGGCCCTCATCCAGTGAGTTCTGTGGTTCCAGTAAGGAATTTTTTGTACATACGCTCTCATCTTGAGTTGTGTGGGTATTTTCTCTCTGTTGTAGCTGCGCTTTTTTTGTTTGTTTGTTTGATTCTGATTTTCTTTTTTTCAGGGTGTTCTGTACCAAATATGACATAGTTTAAATTACCCAAACGGACAGACTTGGAGCATAAGGCACAACCCGCCCCTCATGGTTTAGGCCTGGCCCTGTTTTGGAAGTCTCTGGCGAGCTGACAGTATTAACAGTGAATTCCAGTTTACAGTATTCTTACCTGACAGCCATACTCATCAGGAAGCCATTGATTCTGAATTTTCCTCTGTTGTGGCTTTCCCTGCAGACTGCTGCGTCCAGGTTGATCTGGCTGTTCATCTGCTTCCTGGGTAGGAAGATCTGCCTGGGGAAAATCAGAACTTCTTTAGTTAAATAGGTGCTTGGCAGGTGGCTGTGGGATTTTTTTCCCCCCTTCTCCTTTATTCATTATGTAAACCCATCACAAAAGGTATTAATCACTTTGATTGAAATTTAAATAACATATACCACACACACCACATACACAGACAGACAAAGAAAATTCAGGTCTGTACGTCATTTCTCTTGTTGGTATTTTCAGGGACTCTCCTCCCCAGCGGCCAGGGCTCCTCCCTCAAGGACCATACTGTCTGGCATTAGTTGACTCTGCACTTGAGTCTGCCCTTTGTGCCAGTGGCATGCAGGTGACTCTAGATGCTGATGAATTGAGAGGCAGGTGGTCCCCAGGAAACTGAGGTGCAGTGTGGGAATCAGGTGCAACAGCTGAGCCTACAGAAAACCCCAAAAGACCGCCTCTATCATCTGTCCAGTTTGGGGAGCTTTGTCCATGTTTTTTTTCCCTCCCTGAAACACTCCTCCTGTGAGTGGTTGTAGGAAGATGACCAAGGTCATCAGTAGGAAGTAATGCTCACTTCCTAGTTGACCCCAATGTTTCCCCTCTGTTCTTTTCCTTTGATTGAAAGTGCGGGTGTTGTGGTGGGCTTCTCTTGCCTCTCGGCATTGGGGTCGCCCCCTTGCTGTCCTACACATTCATTCTCACTTGGCCCTAGCTGCCCCATTCTCACTGTGGATAAATGGATCCATAAGCATGCCCTGTTGCATGGAGGGTGTGCAGTGTTCTCTTCCTAGAAGATCCATAGCTGTGTGGATCCCCAAAATGGGTAACAACCCCAGACTTGCTGTGTTCATTGTGTGCAGGCAGAGGGGGGGAGATAAGAAGACCTGGTAGACATGAGTGTTAACACCAAAACTGAGCTTCCCACTTAGGTTTAACAGGATGCTGGGGATGGTGCTGATGGGAGAATGCTGCTGTCCACAGGGTCAGTACATGCCATCCCTCTACATAGTCCTCCTAGCATGCCTTTCCTTCCAGTGCAGAAGTCCTCACTCACTGAGGCTCACAGAAGGACTGAGTGGAGGAAGCTTGGCCACTGGCCAGCCACCCCGGGGCCAGGAGCCAGGGACAGACAGAGGGTTGGTAGGGCTGTGCTTAGTTCATCATGTCCACAGTGAGCGGTGTCCTGTATCCCTCCTTGTAGCGTGTGGAAATGATCTACTGGAATTACAAAACCTAGTGTCTCTAAATTTCAGCTCTGACTCTGGCTGTCTGGCTGTGTTCTAGAAAAATCATGCAAGAGGGCTAGAACAGAAGAGGGAAGAGCGGGAGACCCTATGTCTGAGCAGCTTGGTTTCTTTCCTTTGTTTTTAAAGATACGCACTTGCCTATGATACTGCCTCTCTGGTGACATGATAACTCCTCCATTACTCTATTGATACAATATTGTGCATGCCAGTGTCGTATTTCTATATGGTAGCTTGAAATTTATTAACTTATACTGTAGGTGTTATGTATTCCTATGACAAAAAGAAATTAAGTCTTCAAAATTTTTTAAAGTTTTTTTTTTTTAATTTAATTTTTTTTTTCCTTTTGGGGGTAAAAGTTTGCTCTACCAAATAGTGATCGTAACAAATTGATCTCTTTTGGATGTTGCTATA